GAAAGAAGTGCAATTAATTCCACGTGGGTTCTTTTCCCCATTATAAACCCCTCACATGGCAATGACCTTTATTTTGTTCTATAATTCACATGAAGAGAAATAAAACACATTTCAAGGTCTGAGTTGAAAACCATTAACAAAAAACACGGAAAGGGGCTGAAATCTTCATAGCTTAGTAAAACCACCAAGCTTAGTCAAGCTGAATAATCTCCATTTTCCCCTTCTTAAGGGTAATTTCCATCCTTTATCTTACTTCAGCCAACTCCAAATACTATGCATAGCTAACAAAGTCCTGGAGAAGACCCATTTTAGCTCACAGAAAGAGGGATACTGAACTGAGAGAAGATGGGGGCAGTGTTGCTGCTGGATAAAAGATAGTCTGATATTAAAGATTCTGTGCTTAAGGCACAAATGTACCTGTGACTTTTTAAATGGCACATTTTAGCGGCATGCAGCATCATCTTTTATGGAAGAGTGTGGCGAGAGGCCTTGTTATGACTCCCCATGGGGACTGGGACAGCACATTAACACGGGAAGGGCAGGATGAAGAAGGCAGGCAAGGGTGCACCTGTATTTTAGGAGTTTAAAGCAGTGAAGGCAGCCTTTTGACTCTTGAATCACCAAAAACCTCAGGGATTTTATGGAATTTAAGGGCGGGTGCTAGGTAGAAGCAGAAGGGGAAGAAAACTTTAGTCCCCATTTTGTCTCTGATTCTTGTGTAATTTCAGGAAAATTTCTTGGCTCGGTGTCCCACATTTTCACCCCATTGTTTCTTTTAAAATTTTTACTGATTTGTTTTTGGCTGTGCTGGGTCTTTGTTGCTTGGCATGGGCTTTCTCTAGCGGTGGTGAGCAGGGGCCACTCTTGGCAGCTTTCTCACTGTCCTGGCTTCTCTTGGGGCGGAGCACAGGCTCCAGGCGCACAGGCTTCAGAAGTCCCAGCACGGGGCTCAGTGGTTGTGGCATCTGGGCTCTAGGGTGCATGGGCTCAGTAGTTGTGGCACCTGGGTTTAGTTGCTCTGCAGTGTGTGGAATCTTTCCAAACTCAGGGATCCTGCATTGGCAGGTGGATTCTTATCCACTGCACCACCAGGGGAATCCTCCCCCATTGTTTCTTTACCACCTGGTACTCTAGGGGAATAAACTGATTGATTCAAAACATTTTGAGGAAGGTATCCACACAAGTAGGTAGACCTTGCATACTTGGACATCTGCTCTCTCCTGAAAGGTTTACAAAGATCCACCTTAGAGTGTGCTGGGGGATGGGGAAGGGCTCCTCCACCTCTTCCTTCTTTCTCCAAGGGGCAACTCGCTTTAAGACGACCAAGCTCAACTGTCAGCTCCTTTGAGAAACCTGTCTTGCTCTCCCCGCCTGAACCTTTGTGGCTCAGAGTACTTCCTTTTTACTAATGACTGTCACACTGCCCTGGGCTTTAAGTGTCTGTCTTCTCTATCACAGGCAGGCCTTCCTCATCTTCGTGTGCTCCACTCTTCAAGGGTCACTGCATGGTAAGCACTTAAACAAAGATTACTGAATGAATGAAAGTGCCTACTCTCCACAGTGCATGTCTAGGAAGGGAATCTTGTTTTTAAAGGTGAGGATAAACAGAAGAGAAGCAATTACTCTTTGAAGATGTTAACTATGTTTCAGGACACAATTTTCTACTCAGAATTTAAAAATGCTGCTGAGATGCACACTTCTCTCCATCTGCAGTGATTCTGAACAGGATTTACCACATCTATTCCTAGCACACCATGATGAAAGCAGAGAAATTGGTCCTTACGTGCCTTTTGTGGGCTGACTTCCCAACCCCTTCAGGTAATGTTCTTATCACATCTGCACCTTAAAAAAAAGAACCTTAGTGTTCTCTTATTGACTCACACACAGTTTCTCATCTATGGACTCAAAGCCTCTGACTCCTATTTCACATTACATATTTTTGTACCCCAAACGAATCTGGTATAAAACACATTGTTGTTATTTGGTCACTAAGTCATGGCCCACCTGTTTTGTGACTGCATGGACTGTAGCCTGCCAGGTTCCTCTGTCCATGGGATTTCCCAGTCAAGAATACTGGAGTGGGTGGTCATTTCCATCTCCAGGGGATCTTCCCAACCCAGGGATTGAACCTGCATCTTCTGCATTGGCAGGCGATTCTTTATCACTGAGCCACCAGGGAAACCGATAAAACACATTCCAGGGCCTTACTCGTCTCTCTAAAAACTTAATTCACCACCTGTGTTTGGTCATTTGTTCTCACTTGCCTATCTGCTGGGTCATAAGCTCCCAGAATACAGAGACTATGATCACACAGTTCCTTTCAAAAGCATTTAGTTAAGTATCTCACACAGAGGTGCTCAACAGCTCTTCCTGATGATCATAAGCACACTGCACTTTACACCCTCTAAGGCCATCTCTTCCGCCTCCTAACATCTGGCTCCTCAGCATCTATTTTAAAACGCAGGGAGCGGCAAAACACCGAATTCTTTTCAGCCCTCACTTGACCAGTGGTCCTTTCCTACTCCCCACTTCATCACATGAGCCAAGGCACTCCTTCAGGCCTCCAGGTGTCTCACACTCATTGCTGACACTTTTTCACACAGTTCCTTACACCTTAATCTTATAAATTCAATGAGTCTGTTTTCTTCAGTCTTCTAGAGACTATTTAATAGTTTACCTCCAGGATAAATGAACATGATCAACAAAATCCCAAATACATCAATGGCAATCTCCCTTCCTATACAACAGAGTCTCTTTTTATTAATCTTTGTATCCTGAGCACTCAGCAAAATGCTGGCAGACATATATTTCAATATGTAACATAAATATGTTCTATTTATTAAGTATCTGTCTATCTACGTACCTATCTTAACTAGTCTCCCTGTTTCCATGATTGTCCCTCTATATTCTGTGCTCCATAGAGCATGCAGCTATCCTGTGAAAACATATTTTAGATAATATACTCTCAGAGTAACATCTAAAATCCTGACCATGGCTTACAAGGCTGTATATGATGTGGCCCCTGGCTACCACTCTGAATGTGTTTTTCCCCATTTTTCCTTGCTAACTCCACTCAAGTAACTCAGGTCTCTCATATTATTTGCTGTTGCCTGATGACCCCTTCTTTTCACACCATTCCAGTCTCAGCTCAAAGGCTGTTTTATTGGAAAGGAGGACTCCACTTCATTTTTTCCCATAGGACTTACCACCACCTGACATTATATACTCAGTTATCCTTCTGTTTCCTGTCCCAAACACTCCACCCCTCTCACCAAATGCAACTTCACGAGAATCTAGAATGGAGTGTCCTTCATTACTATATCCCCACTGCCTATCCACTAGACATAGCAGGAGCTCAATGCATGGAATGAAGAAGTGAACATGGAAGGAAGGAACGGTGTGCTCTAAATCTTAAATCTGTCAGTTTCCCTGTTTGACAGTATCGTTATGCCGCTGCGTGTCTTTAAGTCACACATTTCCAGAGCTGTTGCAGAAAGCTGCAGACAAGAGCAGACTGCTGAGAGTCATAAAATGTTAGTCTGGAAAGGGGCTTAGAGATCATTATTCAACAGAAGAAGAAACCGAGGCCCAAAGTTAAGCCTAGGGGCTTGCACAGGGCCACCTAGAAAACCAGTAGCAGAGCTAGAACTGCAACCTATGTCTTTCATTCCCACTCTAGGACTCTTATCTTTATGCCATGCAACTTCTCAAATGCTCCACACTATATCTGGTCTTTTATCAAACATACTCAATGACGACTCATTTAAAATATACAAAGGGTAATTATATAACAGCGAGAGCTGAGCTCCACAAATCAAAGGTACTAGTTTCCCCTAAAACAGGCTAACTGGACACGCCCTTTGGGATTCTGTTGGGAGACTCAGTTCTGAGCATCTGTCCACCAGCATTGCCAATCTCTCAGCTGTTGCATATATACTGTATTTCCTCTTGGAGCCCCTTTCATGAAGAAGCAGAAAAATATGGTTCAAGAAACACTGAATATTTTTGCTTTCTTTCTATAGTGCAGGTGAATTGACTCTGAAGATATCTCCTTAGAAATTCAACTGCATTCATGCATTACAAAAATCACAGAAAAAGTGTTTGACCAAAAAAAAAAAAAGTGATGGAATTGTGACTGCAACTCTATCCATGATCTTATTTAAGGAGTTCTTTTTATTTTTTTAAAGAGTTCTCTTTTATCTGAATCAATGCGTGTAAGATATATCACTTGAAACACTGGTGGATATCTAGGCTCTATCCTGCTGTACTTCATGCTGAACCAGGTCTCCATCTAATACAAATTCTCTGCATTTCCTTATAGATCAACAATCACTGTACAGAAAGCCTAGCACAAAGCTCTAGTGGGGGTACATGTAGCATACAAAAATAAAATCCATTCTAAATACAGCTGTAACATTAAATCTGTGCCACATACATATACCTATCCTCCTTCAAATCATTTCATACCCTGTCCCGCAACATGTGATATGAGTCTAACTGGAATAAGGTGGTTTTTTTCTTTCTAAGCAAACATATAGAAATTATACATCCAAATGAGTAGGGCTGTACTGTTTAATAAGGTAATCACCTCTAGAAGTCATATATGCCTTTGAAGAAGGCTGCTATCACACATACTTTTTCTGGAATTTCTCTTTTCAAAACACAGGTTCTCCACATTTAGTGTGCATATGGATCACACTGGGAACGTGTTAATAAGGATAATTCTTACAGATTTGAATTTAACTGGTCTTTTGATGGGAGTCCGGGAACCTGTGTTCTTAAGAAGCACTCCAGGCAAGTTTTACACAGGTGATCTGTGAGAAAAAGCACTTTAGAATAGTCATGTAAGGGTATCAAATAAGGACTACTGAGTTAACCTCTGTTACATACACACATAACTCACTGGAAGCTTCATTTTTTTTTTTCAAATAGAAATATTTCTCCTAATAGAATATATCAGTACAGATACACATAAGAGCATCTATTTGCAATCAACATACCTCCATGAAAGAGATTCCTAAGCTCCAGACATCAGAATGAATTCCATACTGCTCCCCTGAAATTCTTTCAGGCTGAAAGAAAACAGAAGGGAGCTTGTGAGTTGACGTAAGCTACTCCAGGAAACACATATGCTCAAGTGAGCTCAGCTAAGGCACAGTCACCAATATCTGCACAGCACATTATCAACAGAAAAATAATCTTATATGTATGTGTATTATACAGATAATCCATAGAAACTGTATAGGTAATACAGATATATTAGATATAATTGTATTGAATCCTCACAAAGATCCTGTGAGGGAAACTTTGTTATCTTTGTTTTAAGATAAACAAAATGAAGGCTCACATTTGTGAGATATTAGGCAAAGTCCTAAACTAGTAAATGAGCTGAGACTTGAACTCAAACCAAATCCAGTGGTCTTAACTAAGACCACTGTAATTTGTCAAGTGACAAATTACAGGACATTATATAATATTATCACTTATTTGCATTTTGAGAGATGGGTCTGAATCACTAGGAATTCTGCTATTTAAAAATTTTTATTGTATAATATTAAACTTGTAGGAAATTTTTAAGATTAAGACCAATACAAAGAAAACCCGTATTTCCTTTGCCCAGATTCACTTACTGCTCAACATTTTATCCCATTTATTTGGCTTCTTTTTGATATAAACCAAGGAACAGTTTGAAAGGTCCTTTTGGGACTCTTGGTCCTCCATTCAAGATATGTAGAAAATACTTGTTCTAACAATTACTCTCTAGTTCAACATTTATTCTCTAGTTCTCAACAGTTACTCTGTAGTTTAAGAGGACTAATTCCATACTGAAGTGGCTGCTGCCTGGTTTCTCTATCCCTCCAGGATTTGGCATTCAGTAAGGTACTTCACAGAAGTCTTTAGAACGAACACAGGAATAAATGAATAAAAGAAACTGAGGTCTCACTGAGATGGAATGGTTGCTTAATGTTACAGGGCTAGTAAAGGCAGGGCTAGGATCATGATCCATACCTCTTGGCCCCCAGTACCATACTCTACTCTTGGTACCATCCCTGGAATTCTTGGAAGCCACCATAGCCATCATCCTTCAAAAGCTTGCATGAGCCACCCTTAGTAGTAACTGGAGTTAGGGTGAGTCTGGTCTATAGCAGATGGAAGAAACAGGAATTCACCACTCACCAGCAGGAGATACACCAGGGGTATGGAAGACGTGGGCCAGATACTCTCAGGTGAGTTGGCTTACTTGGGACCCGAACTTTGTAACCTACTTCCCACACACACCTACCAGGCTATCTCAATATATTTACTGTCTTCTCCTGGGACCATTTTTCATAAAATTACGTAAAGCCCTACCCTGGGGTAGCAGGATGGATTGTCTTACTTCCCTTCCTTTATTTATTTAATTTGTAAAATACCTCTCCTACCAAGAATAATTCTTCCCAAGACCCAAGTAAGTCACTTCAGTGACCCCATAGACGGCAGCCCACCAGGCTCCCCCATCCCTGGGATTCTCAAGGCAAGAACACTGGAGTGGGTTGCCATTTCCTTCTCCAATGTGGGAAAGTGAAAAGTGAAAGTGAAGTCCCTCAGTTGTATCTGACTCTGTAGCGACCCGATGGGACTGCAGCCCACCAGGCTCCTCCGTCCATGGGTTTTTCCAGGCAAGAGTACTGGAGTGGGGTGCCACTGCCTTCTCTGAAATACCCATACTATACTGGTACTATTCATCATCTCCATTTAATAGATAAGGCAAATGAGGCACAGAGAGGTTTAATTTGTACCCACTGGGAAAGGATGATAATAGCTACCACTGAATGACCACCTAGTTTGTCCCAGAAACCGGGCTAGATACTCTGTATCCTCTACACTTCATACAACCTGACAAATATTATTGCCCTCATTTTACAGATGTAAAAACTGAGGTTTAGTAAGATTAAATGACTTGCTAAAGTCTAGAATTACGGATTAAGTACTAAATGTATTATTTAAGTACACAGCCAGGATTCAAACCAGGTATGTCTGACTGCAAAACCGAGGTTCTTTTCTGTGGTCAAACGGCCCCTAAGAACCATAAGTCAGAAGAGCCACACACTAGTCTTGATCTGGTCAGTATTTCTCAAAATACAGCCTTGGACTCATTCTCATAGAACTGCCCGTGGTGCCTATTACAAATGAACTTCCAGTATCAGAATCTCTGGAGGTGGCTCTGGGAGAGCTTCATTTTAGAAAGTTATTTCTCTGGGTGAATCTTCAGTAAACTCGGCCCCAGTCACCAAACATGTCTTTGTTTCCTACAGAGGGGGCGACCTGCCTTTCTCATCTCTGCTTAGTCCCCAGAAAGGGCCCTTCTGAGGCCCTCCTGTTCAAGGGCCACCCTTTTCAGGTGAAAACTTCCTCCACTCCTCAGGTCAAATTATGAATTCCTGCCTCTGTACTTCTTTAAAATGCTGTTCCTATCTTTCACATTAATTTATTACACTGAGTTGTAACCATCCAGTTGACAGTCTGCTTCTAAGAGCCAAGGAGCGTTCTTATCTCATATCCAGTACCATGCCTGGCACATAGCAGGCAGCCGGTTCCACAGGTCTGTCCTCAAGAATTCGTACAGTAGTAGGGACTAGAAAAATGTGTCCAGGCTGCTGAAACTAACTTGGGTACAAGATGAGTCCCAATACATCCTGAATTTATGGAGCTAGGGCTTGATGGCGCCTAAGACTGCACAACTCAAATCCATTCTCACACTTGAAGCCAAGATGGCCCACTCTGTCCTCTTCCCTCCAAAACAAAACAAGGCAAAGCCAACAGCCAGATACCGCACTACTGAGATAAGAGCTGTGATGAGTATTTTTCAGTTAAAAACCAAAAGCTGGGTTACTTTCTGACATGACATTTGTCACCAATGTGGGAAGCTTAATAGAAGGAAAAATATGACTCTTGTCTGAAGCACTTCTGCACTGAAGTTTACGTGTGGAGGGAAAACTCTGGTCTGTTCTTAATGAGAACACTAAGGAGTGGTGATGATTTAAAACCCAGAGGGTCTTAAAAGAGCACTGCTCCAAGATGGCATGCACACTCTACCCCTCCACTTACTGCTGTGACTGGGCATGAACCTAGGACCCAGATTTAGTTAACTCATTCCAGAACTGTCTCACTAATTCTCTCTTGTCTTCAACATCCTACCAAACAGTGAGTTTTCATTTTTATCTAGTAGTTTTGTTTGGGACTTTCTCAAATCAACTATGTCACTTTTAAAATTTGTGATCTAAAGACTGTTTGCAACCTTTTTTCCTGGTGGCCTCTACTTAAAAAACAAAAGACAGGCTCCCCTGGTGGCTCAGATAATAAAGAATCTGCCTGTAATGCAGGAGACCCAGATTCAATCCCCGGGTTGGGAAGATCCCCTGGAGAAGGAAATGGCAACCCACTCCAGTATTCTTGCCTGGAGAATTCCATGGAGAGAGGAGCCTGGCATGCTACAGTCCATGGGATCACAAAGAGTCAGACACAACTGAGTGACTTACATTCTCTCATAACACAAGACCCTAGCGTTTACTTGTCAAAAGCAGGGCAGAGATACCTAGTACATCACATCCCTTACTCCTTCCCATGAAGGAATTTCTGCTCAGGGTTAGGCTACTTAGAAGATTAACAAAGTATGCACAAAACTTTAGGTTAGTATGTAATAACTGCAAGGAGATCAAACCAGTCAATCCTAAAGGAAATCAATCATGAATATTCATTGGAAGGAGTGAGGCTGAAGCTGAAGCTCCAATATTTTGGCCACCTGATGCCAAAAGCTGACTCATTAGAAAAGACCCTGAAGTTGGGAAAGATTGAAGGCAGGAGGAGGAGGAGACAACAGAGGATGGTTGGATGGCATCATGGACTCAATGGACACAAATTTGAGCAAGCTCTAGGAGATGGTGAAGAACAGGGAAGCCTGGTGTCCTGCAGTCCACGGGGTCGCAAAAAGTTGGACATGACTGAGCAACTGAACAACAACAACAGTATGTTAAAAAAAATATATATATATATATATCAATCATAAACAATGGGGATTCTTTTTTTTTTTTTTTAAAGCTGGCAAAATCACTGTGTAGGTAGTAGTAGAACATTCAGGTTAGACAGGGTTCTGTAGTCACACTACTCTAACTCAATCTATCTTCCAGTTCACTAACTCTCTCTTGTCTTCAACATGCTACCAAACAGTGAGTTCTCATTTTTTTTTAGTAGTTTTGTTTTGGACTTTCTCAAATCAACTATGTCACTTTTAAAATTTGTGATCTAAAGTCTGTTTGCAACCTTTTTTCCTACTGGTTCTTTGGGTTGCTCTGTTTCTTTGTGGGCATGGTTTTCTTTGCTTTACAGTTTTTGTTCATGAAAAAAAAATTTCGCAGAGGTTTTCTGGGGCCTCACATTGATGTGTCTACTTCAAACAATATTCTCAACATGAAGATCCTTTTCTAACTCAGGTCACATATACAAACATCCAGGGTACAAATTTGTGCCAGTTAGTCTGTGGCCACAACTTTCCCCCTTTTTCTTTTTCTTCCTGTTGCTCTTTTGTTCCCTGGGATGGGGAAGAGTAGCTTTAGATCTAGTTTGTTTGTTTTGTCCTTGTTAGGATGGGGGGCTCTTCAAGCTTCCAGCATAGTAGAGGGAAGATCTCCTCTGAGATCCTCTGCCTTAAGGAAGCCCCCTTATCATTCACAGCTGCAATACAGGCAAATATCCTCAGGAATAAGTAGCTTTGGTACTCTAACATTCTATTTTCCCCTCTGTTGGAGGTTTCCTTCTGAAAATCATCCTGGGAGTCCCCAGTTGCCTTCTTAGCTCTTCAGTGCATTTGAGATGGTTTTTAAAACTATTTTAATTAGCATTTTTCAGCAGAAAAGTTGGTCCAAATAACCTAATGTGCCACTACCAGAAACTAGAAGCTGGGGTCCTCGTTAAATCTTGACCATCACTACTTGGCCAGCTCTGAGATTCTGGGCTAAAGTTACTTCACCTTTGGTTTCCTTACCTGTAAAATAAAGACATGTATACCTAATGGAGCTGTCTGAAGACTAAATAA